TCACGGGCCCATTAACCCACCGGCGGTTGAATGGCGTTAACGGCCCGGTTGGGTTAACGGTCGGTTGGGTTAACAGCCAGTTGGGTTAACGATCAGTTGGGTTAATGGTCGGTTGGGTTAATGGGCCCCAAACGGTCGGTAACCGGTATGTTTATGCCATAGGGAGTGCAGTTTCCATTTCTCGCAGGAGGCCGTGCAGGTCCTCGAGGCTGTCGAATGATCCCGACTTGCAGCACTCGCCAAGCACAACCAGCTCCCTGAACATCTTGGCGCTGATTGACTCAACGGCGGTGATTCTAATCCAACATCACCCCAATCTCAGTGTAAACTAGTCTCCAAATGTGCCTGCACAAGACTGTCACCCCTGTCACCCGGCATTCACATTGCCTTAACCTCCTCAAGCTTGTCGGGGTGTGACACGTGGGCATGAACCTTGTGACAATGGGCATTGTCACAAAGAAACTGGTTGCAATCAGAAATGCATTTTTGCTCATGCCAGGTTACCGACATTGGTTACCGATTACTGGGGACGGTTAACGGATAACGGTTTGCCCGGTTATCCTACCGACCGGTTACCCATCTCGTTAACTGGACCCGTTAGGTCGGAACCGGGCCGGAACCGGCCTGGAGTATGCCATTGGGACTCGTGCTCAAGCCGGACGTGCTGCTGGGGACGGACTGGTTTACGCAGGTACAAATGCCAGGGACGATGTTGAGCATGCGCCAGCATCATGTGTTTGACGGACTACTATTATCATCATGTGTGCCTGCATACATCGTGGCGTGTTCTAACGGCACCTACTGCTCACCCGTCAACCCAACCACATACGATTTCAAGTGGAGATGCGTGCACCTGTGCATTCTGGCCTCCTTTGTGTTGACCACAGCGCCTGGTGTTTCATCTACCTGCAGGCCCTGGACCACCGCTGCAACAGCCACAGCAGCAAGGCCAACTTCGAGAAGACGCACCGGGCACAAGCTACCGGGGATGCCAAGGTTGGGCTGCACTGGTTCCACGCGCTGCTGCGCAACGTCCTCTGCCACGGCTATATCTCGGAGCAGCGGCAGACCCTGCAGGCCTACCCGCCGCAGCTGGCCACGCTCCACAGCAGTGGCCGTGTCGGCAAGGTGCTGACCAAAACGTACGACAGCCCACCGCCCGCACGCAGCAAGGCCCTGGTCGTGTCGGCTGCAGCATCACCCAGGGCGCAGTTGCAGCCGCCTGGCGCAGGGCCCGCCGTGCACCCCATTGTTTCGCTGCATTTGGGCAAGTGGCTGGGGTGTGCCTCTGGCGCTGCCGTCATTCCGCGGCGTTACGTGGTGTAGATGTGAGTGGTCCGTACCACCTGGCAGACCTGAATCATGTTATCACGCGGTGTAAACCTGGCATGCGCCGCTGCTGAGAGGCGGGTCGTGTGATGAAATTCACAGCTTTGCCCGATGAGGTAGCCCTGGCATGTGGTGTGCGTGGTGGTGGGGCTGGGTGGTAGAGCAGCAGCACCTGTGCAGGTGTGCAAGAACTTGAGTGGCGAGTTTCTTGGCTCCTATGAAGACACGGTAACCAGTTGCATGGCGCTGCTGCTGTGAGGGGGGCACTCCCTCGGCACTGGACGACTTTGCTAAGCACATGCTGCAGCGCGGCTTTGTGCTCTGCCGAATGGCGGAGGCGGACCTGCAGCAGGTGGTGGACAGCTGCAACGGCCTGCTGCCTCCAGGCACCACGCAGATGACGCGTAGAACAAGTGTGCGCGTGTTTATGGTCGCGTTTCCCGGCACCATCACTGAGCACTGAGCATTATTGGCAGTTTTACGAGTATGTGCGAATGCATTTGGAGTACTGGGACAAACCATGTGTGCGGACCTGTTTGGTGCCCCAGGACATGGGGAGGAGGACGAGGGTGTGTGTGGGCGGGGCGGGGTCCATGTTACATTGAAGGGGTACGAGTGCTAAGTTTGGCACGCTTGCCTGATGTGTCTGTAAAGCTTGCATGTTGCTTTATAAACACGTTGTGGTACATAAAGTTTTGTTTGTGTGAATTTGAGGGGGGGTACGGATGCTAATTTACAGATAGCTGGGAATTGTGAAGTGGTATGTGAAGGGGTTTCACAGGGACTGAAGTCTGTGTGTGTGTGTGTGTGTGTGTGTGTGAAGGGGGGTAGTCGGTTAGCGATTTGACAGACTAGGGCATTAGGGCTGATGACGAAGCGGTAAAAGGGCAGTTAGTCTGTGTACGTTGTGCGCCTGTAAAGCCTGTACCTTTGCTGATAATGCTGAAAAGGCGTGTCAGTACCTAAAATTCTGTTTGTGAAAATTTGAAGGGTTACGGGTGCTTTTTTACGGCATTGGTAGGAAATGTGAAGCGGTATGTAGAGGGGCTTTACAGGATAAGAAGGGGATGTGTGGCCGTTAGTCGGTTAGGATGGCGGTGGAGGGCAAAGGGCAGCAGGAGGGGCGGGGTCAAAGTGAGTTGGGCTGTGAGGCATGGGTGTACAGGCATGCTGCACGGGGCGTGCTTGTGTGGCGTGTGTGGCCGGCAACACTCACCGCGCACGCATGCACGTGCTCGTGCACAAGCAAGCTACATGTTCGACCGTTTGTAACATCACGTGACATTAAGGCCCTGTCCATCTACCTACCGGTGCAGTGGCCCCACCTGTTGCGCAGTAGTCCTCTTGCAGCTGGCAGCGGCGCCCGCGGGTGCAGCCAGTCGGTGGCAAGGCAGCACCCAGCACCAAAGCTGCGCGGGAAGGAGACAGGTTGGAGGTGGAGTTGAAGTCGGCGCAAACGCAACACAGCGCCAGGCGCAGGCGCCACGCAAACACAGGCGATCAGGGGTGCCAGTCTCCAAGACTGGACCGCAAGTCAGCATGCGACATGCCCCGGTGCGTGCAGGGGGGATTTAGCCGCGGCAGGAGCGGAGTCAGAATACATAGTGTTTATAGGCCATCTGCAGTTGTCTCGCAGATTGCTGTGGATCCCCGCGTGATTGCTGACTTCTGGTCGCGCCTGCACACCTATGTTAGTTTGGGCATTGCCCCCAAGGGTTGGGAGGCGGTGCCTGCGCACCATCCTTTCCTGGCTCGAGGTGCGGGTGATCGCGTGGTTTTGGTTTTGCCTGCGGACGTGGCCTCCCCCCCGCCCTCGCCCTGAGGGTGTGTGGTGCGCGGTGCTGTCGTTCGGGTGCGTGCGTGTAGGGTGTCTACAGTGCTCGCAACTGTCGGCTGGCTGCGTGTCGGTTGTGTTGTGTGCCTGTTGGCAGCCCCGGGCCGCGCTTAGTGCGCTAGCGTTTCAGATGCTTGGAGGGTTGGTGTGAAGATGAGGCTCCGGCCGGCTTAGGCTTTGCTGGGACTTGTGCAGCGCCTTCCCATGTGACGGTTGGCAGAAAGACTGGGGGGAGGGCGGTTTCTCTTCAGGCCAGAGTATGGTCCCTTGTGGCACGTGTGCGGCGTACACGCTGCTTGTCGGACTGTCCCGTCTTTGTAATACCGCATCCATAAAAAAACACTATGTATTCTGACTGAGCGGAGCGCGCCACAGACGGAATGCGTGATGTTGCTTACCTTGCATGCCTCCTGGGCGCGCGCAGCCGCAGAGCAGTGCATGGTCGGCTTGCCTGTGGAGTGCTGGGACGCATTCGAGGATGGCGACCGACTCAACATGGCGAGTTGACCCTCGCAAGGCGTCGCAAACCTATCGCGGCAGCAGTAGCTCCCAGCACGTCCTGACTCCCTCCGGCCCCTGCTACTATCCAGCCGCTCCGCTGCAAAAGCACAAGCCCGTGAAGCAACAGCACACACTGGCTGGGTCGTTGCCGTACACCCCCGCTGCTACTACCCAGCACCTGATATTCATGCCAGCCAGGCTATAGCACACACTAGGGGTCATGCATCGCGTCTTGAAGTGCGGGTAGAGCTGGCGGTCAATGGGGTTTGGGTCTGCGAATTCCAGTGTCTCGGTAAGTCCACTGTCGCCAATGCGCTGGCGGAACGGAAAGTTATCTAAGTAGGACTCATCCGAAGATGGGAGGTGCTGAGTACTGCCAGGCGCTGAGTACTGCCCAGCGCTGAGTACTGCCCACTGGTTGTCAGGAGTCATAAAACATGCTCGGCACTCGTGCCAGCAACACAGCGCGGCCGCTTGGGTACAGTAACGTCAGCCGCGCACGCAACACTTTTAGTTGCGCCTCCTGCTAATCTCTGTGCTCTTCATGTGGGTCGGGACTCTCTTTGCCCTTCGGGACTTCGCCACCATGCCCCTTTCCATGTACCATCGCATGCTCGGCACTCGAGCATGAACATGGTGCATCCGTTCTGCAGTGCAACATTTTGGACGCGCTTGGGATAGCTAAAACTGTCGGGGCAGTACGAGCTCTGGGGCAGCATGTCCATGCCAGCCTTGAATGCTGTGTTTGCGGTGTTGGGGTGTCAGTCAGGTTGCGCCCAAACACCCAGGTTGCGACAGTCGGAGACGTGGGGATCATCTGGCGCAGGTAGAAATTTCCAAACCCAAAGTTGAAGGCCCCGTCGGCTGACGTAGATCCTGGCTGGAAGGGCCAGCGACTGCGAGGCGGTAACCAGCTGGTTCGTGTAATAGTCGAGCCGATCCATTCAGATCCAGCTGCACGCTCGTTGCTTAGGAGCAGGAATGTGCCCCTTGCGAAGGCCGGCCAAGAGAGCTGAACAACCAAAGTTAGTTAGGCGTTATAAGGGTTACCTTGGCCTGGGCCTTCGGTTTTCATGAGGCAGGAAGGCACGAGAAGTGTGCACCACCTTGTAACAACACACACGTTGCGTCAGCCCCTTGCACAACGCAGCCGAGCACTGCAATATTCTGACCTGTAGCCATGCTTGCGTGTGTGCGTGCCCAGAGTTGAGAATTTATGTCACGTCCTTCTAGTCCTTCCTGAATTTACGGTAGGCATCGGGGCTCAGCCGCTCAGGTCCTCCGGCAGCTGCTTCGCAGGCAGCCAGAGCTGGCAAGTGGCTTCCTGCTGCATTGAGGGTGGTCTGGCATTCCTGACACAAGCTGTTTTTCAGAGCCGCTCAGCCTCTAGAGGGGTCTGCACAGGCCTCTGAAGGGCTCTATCTGGACGGCTCTGGACGGCTCTGGAGGGCTCTGGAGGGCTCTGGAGGGCTCTGGAGGGCTGTGGGGGGCTGTGGGGGGCTCTGGAGGGCTGTGGGGGGCTGTGGGGGGCTCTGGAGGTTGTAACGCGCATGCTTGGCGGGTGTGGGCGGAACGGTGTTCTAGGCTCATTAGCCTAATCTTCCGAGTGTCGTGGGAAATACAAGTAAGTCCTTTTCAGTCAGCGTGTCCCGGCTACAGCGGGACAGTACCCAGTTGGCCCAATATCCAGTTGCAGAGGCCGTGGCAAACCGCGCCATGCTGAAAGGGAGTCGAGATGGTTACTACGGAGTGAATGGATTCCAGACGTTGTATGCTTGGCAGGCCGGCAGTGCCGCACCACAGCCCAACGGTCGTACACCTAACATGGAGCACATCCCAGCCCAAGCTCACCGTCCACAGACCACCAGCACTTAATGGCATCACCACTAGCCCATTACCCCGCAGCGCTTTAGCATCTCTAACAGCCGCGATAGGCAGGCATGGTCGCCGCGTGCCTGTGGCAAGCTGGGTCAGTGGCTAGGCTACTCATTCAGGTTGTATGGCTGAGCGCGGCTCAGTCTGAGTCCAGCACGCAAGCGGCCTGCGCATCTAAGGAGAACATGGGCTGCGCATGTACACGTGCGGGATTGGAGTTCATCACACAGCTCATGAGTAGCACGGCGGATTACTCCCTTAGGCTATACCACCTAGCTAGAAAGCTAGCTAGTCCATACACGCCTAACCGATTTAAATCCCGGCCCATATACCCCCCCCCACACACATACAACCCCCCGGCTGGACTATCCGTCTATCTCATGTATCCCCCCCACACACACATACCCACATGCGATCTCACCTGCCAGGCCGCCAGCAGGTCCACAAGGAGGAGACCAACACCAACACCTGCAGCTGCTGCTGCGCCCGCGGCCCTGGAATCGTAGTAGTTGTAGTAGTTGTTATTGTTGATGTGGTGGTGGCGGGGGAAGCCCGGCAGCCAGCTCTCACCCCCACCTGCTCTCGGGAACCGCTCCCCGGCGGCGGCTAGACCGGCGGACTGAGCCAGGTCGCGACCTCCACGCAGCTGCATTAGCGCCTGGGTGGCGATGCCGTACGACATGCACAAATGCAAAAGACATGAAATCATCATATGGGGGCCGGGGCCGGGGGCGGAGGGGGACGGAGGGTATGGGGACGGGAGATCGCGCACTGGAAAGAACACAGGTACGACCCCATGATGTCGTATGATGTGATGTGATGTGCAGTATGATATGCCCCGTTTGGGCTGTCTGGTTTCCCTTGGTGACCTCCTGCACCTTCCTAGGTGCCTTTGCGAACAAGAGGGCGGCTGGGGAGGAGACTGATGAGCGCCAGGGGGGCCTTGTGAAGGTAAACGTTAACCCCAGGACCGTTATAGCACATCGGGGGCGCGTATCTAGAAGAGGAGAGATTCGATGTACACGTATGTATACATGTATATCTGTATGTATGTCCACCCAAGGCGTCCTCGTGCAATCTTCCAGGTGCTGTCAAGCGCGGAACCCTGGCTAGATGTTTCGAACCCAGGCCTGGCACAGCACCACTAATTAGCCGGGGGGCCATATGCAATATTCCGATTACATATCCCAGGCCAATTGCGGCCTGATCCAGAATCGAACATGCGACTTTGTAATCACGTATCCTCTTCTTTAAGGAATCTCGCTTTTCTAGCGCTGAAAAATTTTCGCTACAGCCACAGCTACAGGCACAGCTACAGCAGCAGTTACGGCCACAAAAGAGCTGCACCTGCCGCCACGCGCAGCAGCAGCAGCAGCAGCAGCAGCTACTGGTACTGGTAGACAGCTACAGCCGCCACATCAAGGACCTATCCGTATCTGTATGAGTCACTCCACTCTCGTTCATGCAACATGCTCATCCACATCTACATATCTATCTATATATCTACCCCAAACAAACATCTTATCACATCTTCGGAGAACCCCCTCCCCGGCCAATACCCTCCCACCACCACCACCACCACCACCACCACCATCACCACCACCACCACCACCACCACCCGAACCTACCTCTGCGGGCAGCTCCTCGCCCATCTCCTCCTCCCGGTCGGCCCCCGCGGGCCCCTCGTCCTCCTGCGCCGCCCCCTCGTCCTCAGCAACCCCCTCCGGCACGGCGCCAGCCCCCTCCTCCTCCTCCTCCTCCTCCTCGTCATCATCATCATCCAGTACAACGACCTCAACAGTGAGCGCCGTAACGCCCAGTGCCATTCTCAGCCGTGCAAGCACGCACCCGGGCGGTATGGGGAGCACCGGCAGCGCCGGTGGACCTGGCAGCGGCGGCGGCGGCGGTGGGATCGTCTCTCCGGCGCCGCTGCCGTCCCGCGGCGGCGGCGCCGGCGCGTCGGAGGAGGCCGATATGGAGAAACCAGCGGCGGAAGCGAACACGGTGGTCCCAGAACCACGGACACCTAGTGTCGTACCACCTGTATCTGTGTTTTCTGGATTCGCAGCCCCGTTCACCGGCGGCGGCGGCGGCGCCGCCACCGCCACAACAGCTAGTAGTGGTTGTGGTGGTTGTGACGATGACGAGTCGGGGGACGACGAGCAAGGCAGTGCCGCTCGTGGCGGCGGCGGCGGTAGCGGCGGCGGCGGTGCAGTACTCTCGCGCTCGGTGACGCCGACCATCGTGTTGTCCGGACTACAGTGTAGCAGGCGGCTGCCGTCCATTCGCGAATGCTCGTCCCTTGGTACGGCATGGGCGGAAGGGCATGTACTCTCTTATGTATTCTGCTTTAATCAGAACACATACGAGTATGTTTAGCTTCACCCGCGGGGCTGCCACCCGCGGGCCTGCTAGCCTTCCGCTGGCAGTCCCCCTACCACCTTCCCCTCATCCTCCCGATGTTTCCCCCGGGGGACACCCCCCCAATCACCGTCACGAACGTCATCATCATCATGATCATCATCATCATCATCAACATCATCCATATGTGTGCCGATTTCCGTAAAGTCGTCATTTGCACAAACACCCTTACTTATGTGCGTATGTGTGCCGATTTCTGTGAAGTTCTGTCAGTGAAGTGACATTTCCGGGTTTAGTACCTGCCACCAGGGCGGGCCCCCTTCTACTTGAGGGGCTTGGATTGGTGTGGTGGTTAATGCGTTATGCGGTTTTCTTCTTCGTTAAGTGTCCTGCTGCCCTAGCTGATTTTCTAATTTTGATCTGAAATGGGGAAAACAGTATCCCCACATAGCAAAATCCAGGCAAAATAATTGGGAAAATCTGGAAAAACAATGCTTATGCAAATGTTTTTTGCTGAAACATTAAAAGAACGCTCAACCACCCTATAAAATTCTCAATTAGTCAACAATAAATTAGCCAATATAGTAATATCTCCAGATAAATTCTAAAACTCTTAGAAGATGAGACTAAAACCTTAACCCCTGATTGGGTTGTAGGGCGCCAAACTCGTTAAACCACCACCTAACCGCCTCCTAACCGCCGCCAGTGTTTTTTTTTTCATTTTTGCCCGACAATTTTCCAGTCCGAACGGAGGAATAGGTTTTTAATCGCGGGAATTAAGGTATTCCGAATCTGTCAGGCGCTGGGGGGGCCCCCCCCCAGACCCCCCCAATGAGGTTTTGTTTAGTTCGTACAAACACAGGGTTTGGGGAATATCACAACACGCGCACACCACAATCTCTCCATAGAGGTGTCTCTTGCACGCCAGGAAGTGGCGCGCACTTGGACGCTGCACGGGTGACTGTTGTTGCACCAGCTGCCAGTAGAGGAAGCGGAGCTGCTGCATGCTCTGCCTCAGAGTTACCGGGCGCAAAAAGCTGCGCCAGGCTCGGCATCTTAAGCTTCTGCAGTGCCAGTTCCCCCTCCTGAAGCTGAGCTGCATTGACGGCCTTCAAGTGCCCGGCGGAGGTATCGTGCGATGCAAGGGTCTCCCTCCGGCACTCAATGACGTACTCGCGCCCTTTGTGCAGGGAGCATGGGCCGCAGCGCACCATGTCGTGCACCTCCCCCTTACTCACATCCGCCGTAATGCACTAAACATAGCTCCGAAGTAAAGCTGCCACTTAAGGGGATGCTTGTCCTTCTTCTCCAGCCACGCGCCGTCGCTCTGGCCCTTCGCGACCCGCTGTGTCTGTGGTCGGGGCGTCTTTGCGCCGCGGAGTGTGGGGTTAGGAGTCTTAGCTGCAGCGCCGGGGTCGCTGCTGCCATCGACCTCGACGCCCGTGTTTCCTGGCCCATCGCGACTGTCTCCATATGAAAAACGTTGACGTTTGGCCCGCTTGCTGATGACAACCGGAGTGGCATCATTGTCGTCGGCTGGCTGCAGCATTGCGTCCACATTGCCTACGGCCTCTAGGCCGTCTTCATTACCGTCGCTAATGGCTTCAGTGAAGTTTAATACCTTCTTTAATGGCCTTCCACGTTTTGGGAGCTTCGGGTCCGAATATTTTGCAGCGTTTGGTCCGGTCAGAAAAAGTCCGATTCCTCGTTGACTTTCGGGCGTGACCTTCCTAACAGTATCCATGGCATTAAAGTACTATAATATGGTTAACATGTTTGTCTCCTGTGAGATTCTAGCGGCTTTGGCATGGACAGCCCATTTTTGGCTGGAGAAATGAACTTGTACGGTCGGAACATTATTTATTCTTAATTTCCAGGACCGCGAACATTTTTTTATTCCGAATTCGGAATATATTCCGCAAAAAAAAAACACTGACCGCCGCCTCTAACTGCTTTCCCGCCGTTACAGGCACCAGGAGGTCAACGGAAGATGAGCCACAGTCACCGTCGTTGACGGCGGTGGTGGCGGCGGTGGTGGCGGCGCCTCTGCAGCAACAGCAGCAGCAGACGCACAGCACCGGCAGTAGCAATGACGACAGCAGCGGCACCTTCGCTTCCCTCACGCCTCCCCCCGCTGACACCGCCGGCGGAAGACGGCACAGGGAGATGCGACAGTAGCAGTACGACGACCGGTAGGGGGTTCCCGGGCGGGTGCGGCGGTCAGTGGTGGCAGCGCTGCCGGTAATACGGCAAATGCCGGCGGCAGTAGCAGTGGCCACAAACGCGGCGGCCGTGTTGTGACGCTTCATGGTGCGGAAGCGGAAAAGGAAGGGTCCCGGGCGAGGATGGGCGGGGGAGGTCGCCATCATGGTGATGGTGATGATCCCGCGGGCACCGGCAGTGACGGCGGCTATGGCGGCGACGGCGGCGACGGCGGCGATGGCGGCGACGGCAGCGATGGCGGCGACGGCGGTGATGGCGGCGACGACAGAAGCGGCAATCTTCGCCGCCATGACCACGTCGCCCGAAGCCATCATTTGCCCGATGACCGTCAGCGTCATCACGACCACCAGCATCATCAACATCATCATCAACATTACGACCACTTGCCGCAGCCCCACTCTGTGCGCTTCTCTTTGCCGGCCCCCCTGGAGAGATACGATGGACCAGCCCTGGAGCCGCCGCCCCTGGGGCCGTACGAAAGTCGGCCTGTCGCCGTACCGGGGGAGATGACGGGCTTTGCGCGACACATCTATCATCAGCAGCAGCAGCGGCGGCGGCGGCGGCGGGAGGAGAAAGAGGAGGAGAAGGCTGGCGGCGGCGGCGGCGGTGGTGACGGTGGCAGCGCCAGCACCACTCACAGGCGCTCCTTTTCTAACGGCGGCGGTTACGTCTCGTCGTCAAGTGATGAGTACGAACGTTACGACAGCGCGTTAGGATCGTTCGGCGGCATCGTAGTAGGCAACGGTGGGGCATGGGGGGTCAGCCAACGCCAGGGAAAACGGTCCGGCGGCGGCGGCGTCGACGGTGGCGGTGGCAGCGCCGCATTGTCGTCCGGCACCAGCGGCGTCGGCGTCAGCGGTGGCGACAGCAGCAGCAGCGGCGGTGGTGTCGGCGGCGGCCGCTCCGGGTCAGATGCGGACTCGGACATGCTGTACAGTACTGCACATGGCGACGTAATGGAAGCGATGTTCGACACCGCCGGGCATCAGCTCTGGACGACGTCAGCGGCAGCGCAGGAGCCGGCATCTGCCGGCTCCGAAGCCAGTACAACAGCCTTCACACCCGCCGCCTCCGCTGCAGATTTTGATCCTGGTTTTGCAGCCGACAACACTGGCGCCGGCGCCGCCAGCGCCCACAGGTTACCACATCCATCGCCGCCGCCGGCGGCGGCGGCCCCGACCCACGGGTCGTTCCTGTCGCCATTTGCACCCCTCAGCCAGCGCCAGCTCACCATCCGAGCTGCCTCCTTGGAGAGCCAGCTACAGGCGCTGCTCACGGGGGCCGGCGGAACACCGGCGGCCCCCTCCCTGGCGCCGCGAGGGACGGTGAACGCCGCCGCCGCCGTCACGGCGGTCGCTGCGGAGCCGCCGCTAATACTGCCGTCACCCCAGCGCACCCGAGGGGCCTCCGACGGTGGCTTGTGTGGTAATGGCGGCGCCAGTTGGACTGCCGTACGCCTAACAGATGAACCGGGGGATAAGCAGCAGCAGCAGCTACCGCTTTCGCTACAGCTGCCTGGCGGTGCTACAGCCAACTCGCAAATCGGCAGCCCTCAGGGCCCATTCCAGAATCATCATGCTTTCAGGGGTCTTGCAAGTCAATCGGCGCCGCCGCCGCCGCGCAGGTACGGCGACCCAGCGGCAGTGTCGCCGTCGCCGCTGTCGCGGCGCAGCAGCTCCTCCACCCTCTTACGGTCGGCGTCTGGTGCACCTGTACGGCGTCTGGGGTCGAAGGTGCTGCTGGCGGCGGCACCTAGCGTAGTGGCTGCCGGCAGTACGGGCGGCGGTACGGAGGCGGGTACGGAGGCGGCAGAGCTGGAGAACAGCCGGTGTGTGTATGTATGTATGTGTGTGCGTGTGTGTAAATGGAAGACGTTTACATGTGTGTGGGGAAGAAAGATGGAGTTGGAGAAGCGTTAGCCTGTAAAGGGGGGATGCAAGGGGATTTGCGAATTGGGATTAGGTTTCCTGGACCTAACGTGTCGTACATATGTGTTTCTGAGAACATCATTAGAGACCACATGCCGTACTTTCATCTGCCTCCTTCAACAAGAGATCGGTGAGGGAAGCGAAACCCCTCAGCCGAATATTAAAATAAAGTATAACAATAAAATTAATAATCAATAAAAATAATACTTAAATAATAGTAACAATGCATTTAATAATCAATATATACATAATAAATAAATAAAATAATATAACATAAATAAATAAAATAAAAATAATAAAATTTATTCGGCATTTTCCGCGCGCCTGCGACCTATTAACCCCCTTCCGTCCTCCCCCCCATCCGGCCCCCCCACCAGGCTAGTGGCGTGTCACGCCATTTCCGGCCCCGCCCTGCTCTCCGAGTACCTGACCGGCAACTCCATTCGGTCCGCACTCAGGCGGCACTGGTGGGTGGGGGAGCTGAAGGACTTGTTGTCCGACTTGGTCCTGTTCGGGGGGAGGTAGTTGCGGCGGAGAGGTGGTTGAGGTGGTTGAGGTGACTGGGCAAGGTAGTTACGTGTGATGGTTGGGCGAGGTTCGCCGAGAGGCACGCGTCATAAGTCTTTCCGTACCAACCGCCTAACTGTTTCAGATACTGTACTGCAAACCGGATTATAGTTTATTGCCTCTTACTTAGCTTTGTACTGCAGGTGAAGTCTCCTATGGCGCGCATCAAGGTGGCTCTGGATGCGGCTCAGGTGTGTACGTGTGTGTGTGTGTGCACGTATGTATGTCGTTACGGGGTGGTTAAGCTTCACCAGCGGCCCCCTTTCCCCAGGCAGTTCCCTGCGAGAGGGGCACCCTAATCCATTCACCCCGTCCGACTTCAGAATGTATTCGTTGGGTTCAGCAATTCACCACCAGCATCCAACCAAGCCTAGCGGATCAACGGCGCCACAACTTAGTTCCTGGCCAGCTCGCAAATTGCTATAATCACGTCTTTTACCGATCACAAGGTGGCGGGCGACTTCCCATTCATCCCCTTCGGTGCGAGAGGGGTCACCGAGGGGTCGATAGGCGGATTTGAACCCGGAACCTCCGGGAGCAGAGGTCAGGCCATAACTTCTGCCTGCACGTATGTATGTTGATACAGGGTGGTATAGCTGCACGTATGTATGCACGTATGTATGCACGCGGGATGGCGGGTACTATAGACACACGCTCGCACACACAGACTCCTCTTATCACAACACCCTCCCAAACCCACACGTCACAGGGTATGGATTATCTCCACTCCCGGGGTGTCGTACATCTTAATCTCAAGACCGGCAACCTGCTCGTGGGGTTCTCAGAGAAGCAGCCGTCCTGCAAGGTCAGCTCGTACTACATAGTACGATATGGTCGATATGGTCGCTTGTGCTTGTAACATCGGGCCGTTAACAACCTCTTTCCCTCTCCACCTCGATCTCTCTCCCGTTCTCTGAGTGCAAGGCAATGTTGTTACTAATGGTGGCG